GTGTCTTAATTCTTGACTGCGGAGAAGAAAAGTCTGTATATTAAAAAATGCCTTTGTATACAGTAACAAAACAATAATTTTAGTTTACTAAAATTTAGCTTACTATTAGTTTACTATTAGTTTACTAAAATTAGTTTACTATAATTTTAGTTTACTATTTTACTGTTTTATTTTTTAAATGCCGACCTACTTAGTTGATTTTTCTTAGTCATCAACCCCCCAAGTCAGGTGGACCCTGCAGGGTGAATAAAAATGATGTGGGAGGATTTTATCCATTTGTAGATGTGGATACCATTCTGTGATATCAATTTGGGGGATTCACTCTTGTGTGTTCCCTTTTCCCTTTACCTCATTCAAGCTCTCTAGCAATCATTTTAGAAAGAAAGAACAGAAAACAATAGTAGTCTTTCCATCTTTCCAGCTTTTGTTTTTCCAAAAACATAATCCCAAAAGAAAACATTAAGGGTTTAGACAAAGTACAAGGAAGTACAGGCATGTACATGGTAACTATGTACATTAATGCACTTCTGGGGTACAGTGTGGGGTTTTCACACACAATCCGAAACACTTCCATCAAACTGGTTAACATAGCCTTCCTGTCATTTTCTTAGTTATTATTTTAAAACGTTCACATTCTGCTCTTAGAAAGATTCACTTATACCCTTGTAAGATAAACTTCAGAAGTGATCCCTCCAATCCCCCTCCCTCGCCCATCCCCCATCCTCCCTCTCCCTCCCCCCTAAAATCAGGGGATCTTAAAATACAAGCATTCTCATTAGACCAAAAAGAAGTGCTCCCAGACTGGTGGGGGTGAGGAAGAGTCTGTGCATCCAAATGGTATTCTATTAGTGCCCTGGAGAAAGTGCAGTACCTTAAAGGGCCAGGGCAATGTGCTATGTATGGTAAGCAAATGGGGCAATAGGCCAACCTGTAGGAAGACTTACCTGTATCTGTGTTGAAGTAAAGCAGTGCAGAGGGGCTTCAGGACCTAGAGGATGGGACTGTGTGGGTAGGATCAAAGAATGCCACAGCCAAAGACCAGACAGCAAGCATGTGCTTGCCTGTGTGCCTCCAGTGCACACCTGGGCACTGCATAAAAGCCTAGAACTACAGCATGTTCCTGGGATTAGAAGGGTACAAAGGAAAGCTTCAGGAAGGTCATGGGTTAAATGTCTCACCAACTGGCTAGAAAAAGAAGTATAGTGATTTTGAAAAGGAGAGAGAGATGCTTATTCCACACTAAAGTAATGAACTAAGATGCATATATGCAATGGTATCAATGCATGTGATATACAATCTTTGCATTAGAATGTCTTTTACAAAGTGCTAGCTTAAACAGTCTACATAAACACCAACGGTAGTAATAGGATGATTTTTTAAAAGGAAGACGTTTTATGATGTTAAAATAGCAGTTGGATAGATTAAAAAAGAGAATATGGGAAATAATCTGCTTTATTTCCTACTGACTGTGATCATTCTGCCCCATGACTTTAGGTGTGTGTCAAGTTGAAAGTCAGGTGGTAAGCCATGGCCAAAACAAGGTTTAGAGAATCGGGCAGCTGACCACCACCCTCCACTGTTTCTTTCATTACTCCTTTTCGTTACTACTCCTTAATGTAGCTTCTTAAGCATTTCTCCTGTAGTATGTGTATGTGATTGTGAGCATGTGAAATTTTAGGAATTTAGTAAATAAAGTCTTAATTGGTGATTCCACAGTTATTTCATCCTCTAGAGATGGGGAAATCATCTTTTTAGAAGAAGATGCTTGCCTGTCTCCCTTGAAGGTTTCTTCCTCTGACTTGCCTGACTGATGAGCGCTATCTTTCTCTTCTCAGAATTGTTTTCCCACTGATGAGACTCTTCCCCTTCCAGGCACCAGAATCTAATTTAAACTAGTTCCTGCGAAGATCCAAAATGTCTACAAATATTTTTTTCTTTCATGAGTTTTTCATGGCAGAGAAAATATGAGATAGGAGTAAATTAGATATTTTCTTTGTTCTATTATACCTTGTACTGCATTTCAGATGAAATGTAAGTGCAAAGTTTTTCATGCATAGACATTTTCATGGATGAGTCCTACTTACTAAAGACCTTGGCTTTTCCTGGAGTTCATCAAAGCAGTTGATGCCTTAGACATTTCCTGAGAGCAGTGCTTCCAGGCAAAGCAAGCATGTAATTGTCCTTTAAGGATTTCCAACTTTGGAAGCTGCCTTGTTGCAAACACACTCCTTCTCTTTGGAAACAGGATCTGTCTGGTTTCAAGTCCCCTCCTGAGCCGAGTCCATCTTTTCTTTTACATGTTAATATTTTATATGTCTTCAGTAAGTGTTAGAAGTTCTATGGGCATTTTGCATAGGGCACAGCTCTTATAAAATTTAAATTCATACATTAATATAATCAACCTAGGAAGTCAAAGGTGTATCAAGGGAGAAAGCAAATTTCCTTTTATTAAACATATATACTGTAAATGTAGCCGGTGGTATCCAGGAAAAGCACAAAACAAATACGTTATTTTCTAATGAGGCAAAAGGATATTTGCTCTATCGTCACAACCACCCAGACGAAATAAATTAGGCCAAGTCAACTATTTTGGTTAAATCCAATATGTGAAAATCTGTTTTTTCACAAATTATAGAAATAATGTCTAAAGCTTGAACTGAGCCAAAATTAATAGGCCCTTCATTCAAAGAAGAATAAGTTCTGCTACCTATATCTGTCACTCAGGCTCATCCCAACAGAATTCTATATATCTCAGAAGTTTCTTATTTGATATGCCTTTGGAAAGGCAAAATATATTCTACATTTCTATTTCTATCAGTCCTATTTAAGTTGACTGCTTACTATGGCATTTTTATTGAATATGTGCAGGCTAGATATGATTCGAATTTAGTCATTGCAATTTCACTATCTGCTTACTAACTATGAGATCCTGGGGAAAGTACTTAGCCACACAAAGCCTCAGTACTCAGTATCTTCCTCAGTAAAATGGGAATAATAAACAGATAAGACCCTGATGCATAGAATTGCTAGGATGAATAAATGAGATGTTTGGAAACAATTTTAAGGGGAAGTCTAACACCGAGGAGGCACTTAGTATGTTCTTGCCCACTTTATCATTATCCCAATGTAAACTACAGTTGCTCGAAGCTAGAGGACATAGGCCCAGGGAAAATCAGTCACTTCTTTCAGGGAGCTCACTGTTTCATGGGGAGAAATTATAGCAAATGGAAAATAGTCCCTGTAGCAAAGACCACACTAAAAGTACCCAGAACAGACTACTGAGCAACAGAGAAAGAAGTTATTAATTCCCACTAGGGATATCAGAAAAGGCTCACGCAGAGACAGCACTGCTCAACTTCGAAGGATGAGGTGAGTAGTGTATTGAGGGAGGGACATGGGGGCAGCAGCCCAGGAGGAAGAAACTGTGTGTAGAAACTCTGAGCTGTCAAAACACTGTCCCTGGATCCCAGCAGAGACCAGACTTAATAAATACGCAGGGACTAAATAAAAGCATGCTGATGAGAGGTCTATCACAGGCTCAGAAGAGTGTGTTGACGTCTCTTGTTTTAAGTGATACTTGATCATTTGTCCCCAAAAGCCTCTCCGTCATTGAGATGAGCCACTGACTTGTTTAAAACAGAATGCCTTTTGGGCTGAATGGCACTGTGTCGTCCCAAGAAGAACATTTGGTACTAATTTTGTCATGTTCTTACTTTAAAACAACCTACGGTAACACTCCTACAGCAAAGAAACTTTCGGAGTCAGCTGAACAGATGTGATGTTTTCTCCCCAATACGTTAGCTTTAACCTCTTGAGTTCATTAAATTATTTTTTGAGTTTCCTTCTGCAGCATGCAATGTTCATTCATCAGCCTGAGTCATTTTATCTGACTGGGGCCAATGTCCCCCTCCTTGGCCCACCTCCTTTTGCTGCTGAATAAATCATCCTGGGATATGTCCAGGTTGGAGAGAGATTTTTGTAGGAAAGTTCCATCTGCAGTCAACCCATCATTTATTCAGGCTGAGTCCTCAGGGGCCCAAGGAGAAAGAATTGAGAAAATAAAGAGATGTCCTGTGTTGCCAGGTTTGTTAATATGGTCATTAACACACATGGCTGGGAGCAATGTCAGCAGAGAGAGGGCACATCTCCCCATCCTGGCTCAGAGGCTATATAGGAAAACTGCCCTCTCTGGGCTCCTTCTCCAAGTCAAGAGGCTTATTACCCACCTCAGAGTTCCAGGAGTGCTGATAAGGTTAAGGAGTCCAAGGAATTCATGGAAGAAGCAGCGAGTAGTTTTTCTTTCCCAGGAATATAATTGCTGGAGTTATTTCAACAAGCTGCACAAACTGAGTTTTTTGAGGAACTTTACCCTTAACTTCTGGCCCTTAGGATAGGCCAGCTACTCTGGGAGATTTTTGCAGTTAACAAATTATCTATACAGCCGGGTTAAAAATAAAATCCCCCTTTTATTTAAAACTAAGCATTTAATTTTGCTTCTTTTCTTGAGGAATAGTAGAATACAAGTTTAAAGGATTGGAATTTAAGGAGGCTTTTCCAGGTTGTCTATCAAATACCAGAGATTTACTGGTTAGGGATAGGGGAAAACGTTAGAGCATTCTTTCCTCTTCCTTCTGGGATTCTCTGTGAGAGGCAGGTGACCTGTTGTGGGTTTAAACTGAAGCCCATATGCCTTGAAAACAGAGCATTAAAAAGGAAAGAATTAAACCCCGTGTTTCAGGACACAGCCTAGACAACTAACCCTGGAGACAGTGTGCGATTGGGAGGGAGAGGGGAATGGGAAGCTATTCTTGCTTAGGGCAGGTGGGAAGGAGGGGAGTTTCTCTTCTGAGCTCCAGGGAAATCACTCCCTCAGGAAAGGATGAGAGGGCAGAGAGGCCAGGCGGTCACTTAGGCTTTCATGGGACGGGACTGGGAGCCAGAAAAGCTCCCAGGGCCTGACGTCATTGGCCATCAGCTGACTGTGCTCAAGGCCGGGCTACACCGGCTGCAGCCGCAGTGGTGGTGGCCACCCACCCTCTGCCACCTGCATGGGGCTCGGGACTGCAGTGGCTGCATTGCCCTGCCACCCGACACTCCCAGGGACTCAGCTCAGCTTGGCGCTAGCCCGGGCACAACGCGCCCTCGGCGCTGCGACTTGGTCCTCTGCGAGCGCCACCCCATGCTTTGTCTGTGTCCGCTCGGTGGAGACTGAGCAGGCGGGAAACCTGGACTCAACGCGAGCCCCTGGAACTGCCTTTCTCCAGGTCTTCCTCCCCAACCCTTACTAGAAACGGGAAGAAACTTAAGTGCGCGAGGCAGACAGGGGATGCCCCATTTTGATGACCCGCGCCCTCACCCCTCGGCGATAGTAAAGACACTCCCGCAGGAAGCTGCCTGCCTGTATGAATCGGCGGCGTGGGAGATTTTGCTTTTACAGGAAAGTTAGCTTTGACACCAGACTAGCGGGTGCAAAGGACAGAAAGGAGACCCTTTATTCCCTTGCTCAGGGCTCTTGGAGTCCATGGGCAAAGCGACCTGCGGGTGCTGGTTCCGCACCTGCGGAGGACAAGAGCCAGTACCTAAAGAACAGCAGAGGACCGTGGCGACACGACCACTGGAACGCGGGATAGGAGTGCGGAGGGAAGGCCGGGGCTCCTGCTGCCCGCGGTAGTCCTCTGCCTAGCTGGTCAGAGCGTGCGGCTGCCTTCAAGACACCGGCGTCCTGGGCATTAGGTTTCCGCCACCACCCGCTCCGCACCCGGTTCCGGGGGTGTGGCTTCACGAGGGGGCGGGTTTAAGTGGCCGCGGGTGTCTGACCGCTCTGACAGGTTCCCAAATTCCTCGCAGTCGCCGGATGCCCGCAGCGCTTTTTAGAGCACCAGGGTGGCACGCCTCGGGGCTTCGCTGGCTCCTCCAGAGACATCTCTGTCGCCTCGGCCTCCCTTCTCGTCCAAAACCTTATATTCGCCTCACCGCCAAGCTTGGGTTCTCAGCCGCAGGGATCCGAACCAGTGGCTTCCCTTCGCTCTCAGATCTGTTAGCTTTGGCGCCCTCCCCGCTTTCCTTCCCTCTCCTCTTGCTCCACCTAGCTGCGGGCCAAATGGACTCGGAAGAGCGAAGTGAAGGGCCTGGGAACCGTGTGCTGCGACACCTCAGAAGCGCAACTGGAAGCGTTAACCTCGTCTTCTAGGCAAGGCCGGGACCCTGGGGCCAGTGTCCCTTCACTCCCTCCCTGAGGGATGCTTCTGCCCAGAGCCAGAGCCGCTGCGCTGTCAGTCCTCGCCCTGGACCCAGAACCGAGCTTGGGGGATACTCAGCACAACCTTCCTCCAAATTAACTGTTTGGTGACTTGTTAGCGCTGAGACTACCACCTCTGAAGGCGCTCTGCCACCTCACAGTCCAACCTCCCCTCCCGCCCCGCATTCTCTCCCATGTTGCCCCCGCCCCCAGCTCCGCCCCGGCTCCCCATCCCGGCCGCAATGGAGTTCTCCCGAGGGCGATGAATCCAGCCACAGCTGCTAACTTCGCACCCATCGCTGCCGCAGGTCAACCCTGGCCAGCCCCCCTGCAGCTGCCGACCGGTAGGTGTCCGGAGCCCAGTGCCGCAGCCAGGACCCCCCAGACGCGCAGCAAAGGCACGGTGCCTCTTGGAGAGCAAAGGCTGCGCCAAGACGCCGAGCCTAGAACCAACCAAGAAGCCTGAGTCCGGGAAGAGGGCTGCGCTACTCACAGCTCCGCGGCTTCTGCGGACAGATAGCCGCCGCCACCGACCGCGGCGTACTCAAGCTGTGCGGGCCGGCGGGAGCGCAGCGGGCAAGGACGTGGGGGTCTGCTTCCATCTTCCTGGCGCCTTTTGCCCCTGGGCACAGTATGACCTGACCTGCGGAGTCGCCCTGCCCAGGGTTCCTGAAACAGGGCAGCCCAGAATTGAAGGACTTGGTGCAAGCTCCAACCAGGTTGTCTTCCAGTCTTTAGGAATTCCTCCTTCAACTGCCTCCGCCAGGTTCTACGCCTCCCTCCCTGCGGCCCAGCGCCATGGAGCTCTCGGATGTGCGCTGCCTTAGTGGTAGCGAGGAACTCTACACCATCCACCCGACGCCCCCGGCCGGTGACGGCGGGAGCGGCTCCCGGCCGCAGCGGCTGCTGTGGCAGACGGCGGTGCGGCACATCACCGAGCAGCGCTTCATTCACGGGCACCCGGGAGGCAGCGGCAGCGGGAGCGGAGGCTCGGGCAAAGCCTCCAACCCCGCGGGCAGCGGCCCCAACCACCATGCGCCGCAGCTGTCCGGTGACTCTGCGTTGCCCCTCTACTCTCTGGGCCCGGGGGAGCGAGCGCACAGCACCGGCGGCACCAAAGTCTTCCCAGAACGAAGTGGGAGCGGCAGTGCCAGCGGCAGCGGCGGCGGGGGCGACCTGGGCTTTCTGCACCTTGACTGCGCCCCGAGCAACTCGGATTTCTTCCTCAATGGGGGCTATAGCTACCGAGGGGTCATTTTCCCCACTCTGCGCAACTCCTTCAAGTCTCGGGATCTGGAGCGCCTCTACCAGCGGTATTTCCTGGGCCAGAGGCGCAAATCGGAGGTGGTGATGAACGTGCTGGATGTCCTGACTAAACTCACCCTTTTAGTCCTGCACTTGAGCCTGGCCTCGGCCCCCATGGACCCCCTCAAGGGCATCCTGCTGGGCTTCTTCACGGGCATTGAGGTGGTGATCTGCGCCCTGGTGGTGGTCAGGAAGGACACCACCTCACACACATACCTTCAGTACAGCGGTGTGGTCACCTGGGTGGCCATGACCACCCAGATCCTGGCAGCAGGCCTCGGCTATGGGCTCCTGGGCGACGGCATAGGCTACGTCCTCTTCACACTCTTTGCCACCTACAGCATGCTGCCTCTGCCGCTCACCTGGGCCATCATGGCGGGCCTGGGCACCTCGCTGCTGCAGGTCATCCTCCAGGTGGTTATCCCCCGGTTAGCTGTCATTTCCATCAACCAGGTAACACTCGCCTGCCTTGTTTTCCCCCTCTGATTCCTTCCATTTATTTATAGTTTGGTTCCAGAGAGCCAGGGTTGCCTCACTCTTTGTCCCCCTCCTCCTGCCTGACTTGGTGCTTTGCACCTAGGGGGCCTTGGGATCAGGTGGGATGGACTCGCTCTTCTCAGAGGAAGCAGAACTAAATGACCTCTAAAAGTTTCTAGCGACTCTACCCTCTACTTTGATTATATGAGTAATCTCTGACATCAGCTGAGAAAGTCTTTCTACTCCTCACTCTCCCCCTCCCCTTTCCAGGGTCGGCAGTCTCTGAACCAGGAGGCAGAAGGGAGACGTATCTAGATGTAAATACTTCCTTAACAGCTTCACTCTTCAGAGTCGCAGCAGGGTGTCCTGGGGGACCGTGGGATTCAGAGTTGGGTTTCTGTGTGTCACCAGGCCACAGACCCTCAGTCCTCCAAGAAACCAACTTGTTAAACAAACAGTAATTGTGCTGGTGCTGTACATGTTACCTCAGCCTGTCCTTCAACAATCCTACAACACATCTTACTGGGGAAATTTTTTATTGCTTTGGGGCTCTAAGATGATATCTTCTCTCATGACAGGATCCAACCCAGAGTGGCAAAAAAAGCAAGCGTTGATTAATTGGAAAAGGGGACTTCAATGCAGATAGTTTAAAACGCTTCAGTGAAATCTTACCCTTCATGTCTTGTTCTTTTTTATCTCCTTTTTATTCTGTCCTCCTGCATCAAATATGGCTGTGTTTATGTGAACAAAATTCATATTGTCTGTGGATGAGAAAATAGACAATGGTTCTATTGTTTATATTCATTAATGCCAATCGTTAATTAATAAGCTGGCACTTTTTAAGAAACCACATGTCTAGAAGGCTATGTTAACCAGTTTGATGAAAATATTTCAAATTGTATATAAAAACAGCACACTGTACCCCGTGATAGTAGTAATGTACACAGCTATGATTTAATTAAAAAAAAAAAGAAAGAAAGAAAAGAAAGAGGCCACACGTCTAATAGGTAACAGGAGAGTGGATCTGTGGGCTTCTCGAAAATGAGGGAAACTTCTCAACTGGAGTGTTTCAAAGTAAAAGGATGATGTAAGATGTGTGGATAGGGCCTTCTTTGTATGTACCTGCTCTGTCCTCAACTTCTGTGTCACTTTTACCATATTAGAAGCTTAAAATTCCTTTTCCTTATGGTCGAGTTTGAACAGGTGGTCCTTAGAATAAACAGGTACACTGTCACTGAAATTGCTCATGACTTTTTAGATCAACAGCACTGTTAGGAAGCTTTCCCTATCATTGACCTTTGGAGCTTGTAGGCATTTGGGGATCCCGTCTATTCTCTGATGGTTTGGCATTCATTTGCCCAAGTTACTTATCTGGTTGGCAGCTTTCACAGTTCTGTGTGAAGTCTCTCTGGATAAAGCAAAGAAGAGATAAAGTACTGGGCTGTGATCATCAGGCATGACCTGGGGAGATGAGAGGCTTTGAGAAAGGGAAGATCAGCTGAACTTTTTGACTATTATTTTAAATCATCAGGGAACTTTAATACTTACATATAAGAAATGAATCTCGGCTCGGCGCCTATAGCTCAACCGGCTAAGGCGCCAGCCACGTACACCTAAGGTGGCGGGTTCGAATCCCCAGCCCGGACCCGCCAAACAACAATGACGGCTGCAACCAAAAAATAGCCGGGCGTTGTGGCGGGCGCCTGTGGTCCCAGCTACTTGGGAGGCAGAGGCAGGAGACTCGCTTGAGCCCAGGAGTTGGAGGTTGCTGTGAGCTATAATGCCATAGCACTCTACCCAGGGGGACAGCTTGAGGCTCTGTCTCAAAAAAAAAAAAAAAAGAAATGAATCTCAATTTGGAAAGGGGGAATCTTTTGTTGTTTTTGTTTGGGATTTTAAAAAATTATACATGGTATTAATTGCCTTCCTCAATCCTACTTACACATGAATCTAAACGCCAGTGAGCTAAATCTTCCAAGTTCTCTCTTTTTCTTTTTTTGCATTTTCTTTGTCATCTACTTGTATAACAGCAGATTTTTTCTTCCTTTTCTTTCCTTTCTCCTCTTGTCCTCTTAACTTCACCCTTCTTCACCTTTTCTTTTTCCTTTTCTGCTTCTCTTTTTTCATTGAACTCATTATGAGTTTCTTTCACAATATATCATCGCTATCTAATTATGTAAAGAAAATCCCATGTATTATAATCCACTGCTTCTCATGAAGTAGCCTTTCTTATACGCACTACTAAAAGACTTTGTAAGTAAGTTTGCAATAGTATTTGGAATAACACATCCTAAGTGGCAAATTATGAATATTTTCAAAGTTCTAAGTATAGATATATTTTTCTTGCCAAATGAATCCAGAAAGTAAATTTTGGCTCCATATTTGTTTTATACTCTACTCAAATACTACCAGATGGGAGAAGATTAAAAATAACCCCCAAATGTCTTCCCACTCCCACCCCATCATAAACAATCCTCCACTGTGAAAACCAAGGTCCTGATAAATGTAAACCAAGCTCATTCAACTTTCCATTTGGGTAGAAAATGTAGATAAAGAATGGTGTCATAGGTTGAGTCACCTACCAGTTTTAAAGGAACAACCAGATATATCTCCCCTCCCTTACGGGCAGAAGGGTCCTTTAAAGGTGCTTTGGCGCCCTCTATGGGTTTAAGCTTTTTTGCCTAGTCTTGTGGATGGATGAGGTGGAGAATAAATCACATTTTAAAAAAATACCACCCATTTTTCTATCTTTCTAATATCCCAAGCTATTTCCTATTTCTGAGTCTTTGCACCTGCCACCTAGAACAATTTTTCTCAGTCTTCACATCACTGTCACATTTTCATCATTCTGTACCGGAAAAGCTGCTTTCTCTAGTATATAACATGTTTTATTTCTCCAGAACACATACACTATCTGAAATTCTCTCATTTGTCCTTGTTTATTGTATTTATCCTCTCCACAATAATGTAAATACCATAAGACTGTGGATGTTGCCTATCATATTTACCAATGTATCTTTAGCACCTAGAAAAATGCCAGGTACACAGGAGGTGCTGAACAGTCACCGAATGAACATTACTCATGACATAGGCAATTTTATAAAACACCCAAGTGCGCTGGTGTTGTGTTAGTGAAAGCTTTCTCCAGGTGTATATGCCCACGTACATCACGTGTGTAAGGCAGCCATGCACATAAACATCTTTTAAAGAAATCAGAGAACATTTGCACGATATTTTACATGTAGCAGAGCTCCCTCATATGCACAACCACATCTAATGGTGACAAATAGATGATAACATACTTCATTTTCATTTCATAGAAGAAATGACAGAGTCTTAGACATTTTTTAGGAGATAGATATCCTTAAGGTCAGGAAGAGCCTAGCAAGTGGTTAAGAGGAGTTCAAACCCTGGTTCCAAGCCAGTCATTCTCCAGATCCATTAGGCATGTAAGCATTTGAAATTGTTCCAGAGTAAGGTATTACCCTTTCCCTACTTCAAGAGAGTAATACCCTGTGTAGCACATGAATGAACATTCAATGAAGAAGCCAAAGGAAAATGATGAGAGAAAAATGAGTGAATTTCGGGGCATAGGCTCTTTGTAGCTAACTCATCATTCTGCTTTGCTGGATACAAATTTGTCAACCAAAGTCCATAAACACTGCACTATCATCTCTCCCTGCATTAATCTTACTTCTCATTAGGATTACAGCTAACATTTAACTTAGCATTTTCAAGAGTCAGGAAACTAAAATGAGAGTATGGAATCAACACACCTTGGCAGCTATTTCACTTCACTGAAAATGTCACTTTCGAAAGTAACAAATGAGCCAATGATTGCGATCCCTTAATCCAAGCTATGAGAATCTGCTCCTCTTTTCTTCACTCTTGAAAGAAATTACATCTGTGGCTTGACAGGGTAACAAGCATCCTGCAGATCTCTGCAGACACTGTATGAAGAGACAAAGTCCTGGGTTAATTTCCATCACCATTTACTCTCCACTGTGGAGGAAAAAGGGCCACTCATGAGGCTCCTTTGCCATCAGCAAAGAGACGGTTTATGTTTTCTCTACTCAATTAACAGTTAGATTAAAATCATCAACCTCCTGCCCAAACAAAGAGATTATTGTCCAGGGCAATACAATCACCCATATGTTTTCTGGGTCCAGAGTGACTTGGAAATGCTGAAGAACCTTTATAAAGTTCAAAAGCCAGTTCAAAGGGCTCCTTTTATTTCACTCTGACAAAGCTCAGTTATAGGTAACACTAAGTCTCCAGTTATCTCTCCCTTGGGAAGCCTCACCCAATTCAAGTTAAATCAGCTTCATGCGTGTGATTCAAATCAATGCTAGGAATGCCTTGTCCAGACTCTCTCTAAGACATTTCTTTTTTTCCACATTTTAAACCAACGTTTGATCCTGCCAGTTCAATTTATTCCCATGAAATCCTTTACAAAGTGATATTATGTATAAATACAATATTAATGATAAAGTTGTATTTGCTAGGTTCTTTCACTAGCTAAATTCTAAAAACTGTTGCTATAATTAACATTTTACCCTATTTTCATGCTAGTGACAATAATGTCAGCTGCCTCACATTTGAAGCTCATCTCATTCTCATTTTTCAGCTCATTAGTGGTAAGATGGTAGAAATAATTTAGTTATTGGGAAAGTAAAAGGCAGCAATATTTAACCAGAAATACTGCCACGTTGTGCTTTCCTCCTGGGAATGCAAAATGTTACAGCTAGTGGCTAATTAGTCTTCTGTGCCTTTTGGTAAGGCAGATAAGCAGGAGTGCCAGAGTGGAGGTGATTTCTCCAAGATAGCTATGCAATCAAAAGCAACCAGGTCGGAAAATCCACCTTAGTTAGCGCTCAAGGTCATGCTGTCAGATTTGAATTTCCCCAGCAGCATCTTCACACATCTCACCAAGCAGCAGCAAGGAGCGCCATTAAATAATGATCCTTAAACTTGAC